GTTCGAATCCAGTCTGGGCCTGCCAACCAACAATGACAACTGCAACCAAAAAATAGCGGGGCATTGTGGCAGATGCCTGCAGGTCCCAGCTACTTGGGAGGCTAAAGTAAGAGAATTGCTTGAGCCCAGGAGTTGGAGGTTGCTGTGAGCTATAATGCCATGGCACTCTACCCAGGGCGATAGCTTGAGGCTCTGTCTCAAAAAAAAAAAAAAAGAATACCAAGGCCTAGAATTCTCTCTACAAAAAGGGGCAGAGAGTATAGATGTATAGATGATCTCAGGCTCCTGAACTGAATATTTTAAAGTGCTTAGATATTTAATAATATTGTTATTTTTGACAATAACAAAGAAAAAGATTAGTTTTGTGGATTTTTCCCCCTGAGACAGAGTCTTGCCCTGTTGCCCAGGCTAGAGTGCAGTGGCATCATCACAGCTCACTGCAACCTCAAACTCCTAAGGTCAAGTGATCCGCTTGTCTCAGCTTCCTGAGTAGCTGGGAATACAGGAGCACACAATCAAACCTAGCTAATTTTTTTTTTTAAGAGACAGAGTCTTACTTTGTCATCCTTGGTAGAGTGCTGTGACGTCACAGCTCACAGCAACCTCAGCTCTTGGGCTTAGGTGATTCTCTTGCCTCAGCCTTCTGAGTAGCTGGGCACCTGGTCTTTTTTGTTGTTGCAGTTTGGCTGGGGCCATGTTCAAACCCACCACCCTCAGTATATGGGGCCAGCACTCTACTCACTGAGCCACAAACACTGCCCAAAATCTAGCTAATTTTTTCTACTTTTTCTAGAGACAGTGTTGCACTATGTTGCTAAGACTGGTCTTGAACTCCTGGGCTCAAGCAATCCTCCTGCCTCAGCCTCTCAGAGTGCTAGGATTATAGGAATAAGGCACTGTGCCCAGCCCCATGTGGGAATTCTGTAGGAAACAAGGCACTTCCCTTCCATAGCAGGTCTTCTGAAAGACAGTGCGTGATCTGACCACTCCAGCAGCCAAGTACCAGACTGTGACACTTACTCCTGCAGTAGCCCTGTAGCTTTGGAACTTAATGCAGCCAAATGATGGATTTAGGGTGAGCAAATCCTCACTGGACAGACTATATATATAATACGTAAATACAGGCTTAGCACCTGTGGCTCAAGTGGCTCATACACCTAAGGTGGCGGGTTCGAATCCAGCCCGGGCCTGCCAAACAACAATGATGGCTACAACCAAAAAATAGCCAGGTGTTATGGTGGGCACCTGTGGTCCCAGCTACTTGGGAGTCAGAGGCAGGAGACTCACTTGAGCCCAGGAGTTGGAGGTTGCTGTGAGCT